TGTGTCTCTATATCTGCAGTAACGCTTTCATTTTGTGTCAAAATAACATATCCTGTCACTCCACGCCAAAAGTATATTTATCGAATGAAACAGCACCGCAAGCTGCATCTTCTTTATCAAACCTTCACTTCTGTTTTACCCAATTGTTAAATATCTTTTCATTTCTTTTCCTATTTTAAAATATGTGTTACAGTAATTGTTACTTGGAGGTCTTTTGTGTATCTATAGCTCCTTTGATTCATATCTTTTCTTTTCTTTTAATCTTGTTATGCGAAATTATATACACATTTCTCAGGAAATTCAAGGAGCATAACTTTATTAAATAAAAAACCTCCTAATCCTTGAGTTTTTCAGAAAATATCAATTTTTTTAAAGTACATGTTCCTAACCCATGGGTTGTGGGTTGATTTTTTTTGTGCTTTTTTTTTTAATGAAGATCCCTAAGTCCTCTTCACTTTATTACGCGGATTTGGTGAAATGATTCTTCAGCTCTCTAATTTAAATAAGTTTTAGTGTGAACCAAGAATGAACATTATCCTCTAACCTGAGGTCAAGTGAAGGGTGATTTACATGACAAAGAATAATTCCCATTTTGTCCAATATGAAACAACTTCACCTTCGGCATCATTAAGAAGAATTTAGCACTTTCAAGGCTTTGGGGGTTGGGGTTTTTCTCTTTTTTTTTTTTTTTTTTTTTTTTTTTAAATAGTTGGCTATGTATAGCGTAATTTCCCTTTTATAAATCACAATACAAAGGCTGACTTCTTGTGCTCTTGAATTTCGACATTATTTTTATAGCCTTAAGTAGAGTGAATTTGCACCTGCTGGTATTTAAACTTTAACATATTAGCTGGGGAGGACTTATCAACTCAGCGCACTGCCCCGAAGCAAATTAACAATCTTCATTAAAGTAAAAGGAGAGAGGGAGAGGAGGGGGGGGAGATGTGACCATTTAAGACGTTGTCCCGGATCTCTCCCATCTATAGACGTTCCGAGTGGATTATTTGGGGTCTTTATAGCAGTAGAATTACCGCTTTACTCCCCCTTCCCCCCCCCCCCATTCGCTTCCAAATTTCTACTTTTCGCCCGGCACTTTAACCCTCTCGATACCTTCTTTCCCTCCGTGTGGAGCAATACCCTGCAGAAGAAGGCTGTAAAGAGGCAGGGGCGGCTCGGCTGAGCTCCCGGTCTCAGCCCCAGCGGCCTCTCGCTCCCACCCCACCTCCCTTTAAGAGCACTTCCAAAAAAAGCGGGTAGTGCTTTTGGTGGTTTCTTCTCTCTCTTTTATGACCACTTTCTGTTGAGCTTGCTCCTTCCCCTCGTCTTCCTCACACTCACACCACAGGAGCCCCTGAGGAAGTGATCTTAATCTAAATATCAAACTTACCGTCCGGAGGATCCTGCCTGGGAAAAGTTCTGCTCTGTTAGATGTCAGAGTCAAAGAAACGACCGTCATCCCTCGTTAAGAGCTCAGGGCTTGGGGAGAGGGGATGCTGGCAGAGGGCTACGGGCAGGGTTCTGAGCACCCTGGCTTTGCCAGCCCGGCTGTGCCAGCTCTGAGCCCCAAGGGGCGCGGGGACCCAGATCCCCTTCCCTGCAGGCGGCTCCGACGCTCTCGGGACAGGGGCGCACGGGGCACCGACCCTGGGATTTCTCCCGCGGACACGGAGTGCGCACCTAGACGCGGCTCCGCGGGGAAATCCGCGTGTTCCCCGTGGCGGGAGGGGGCCCCCGGGGCAGCGTCCTGTCTCTGCCCGACCACCCGTCTCTATGGGGGGTTGTGTGGGGTGGTCGTATGCTTGTTCACAGCTACACCGCTAAAGTGGGAGCATTTCGTGTTTACAACTGGCTCCGGCTTGTACTGGTGAGATGTAGTTCAAGCAGCGCTCCTGTGTGTCGCGGGCTCTTAACTGGAGCTTTGCTCAGTCATTGAGAGCAATAGAAAGTATATGGAAATCAATATATAGACAGTGTGGAGGGCAGATAATGGATTCGAGTCAGTGAGTGTTATAATCTGCATTATGGGCTTCCTATTGTTTAGACAGCACAAATTTCCAAAGGGTGAAGTGTTGGGTTTGAGTCCCCGTTCTCTCTTCCCCCCCAGCCCCCCTTCTTCTTCTTTTTGGAGGGCTTTGTGTGTATAGGGGGAGGGGGAGTGTTAAATCCTCCTGCCACAATTATCAGAGTAACTCCCCCCCCCCGCTCCTTTCCCGCCCGCCCCATCTGATTTTAAAGGTAGTGCTTTCACGACGAAGCTAATGACTTTCATTTAATTGAACATGCCCTGATGTAGCGGATTGTTCTCGCAGCCCTGCGCCTTTGTTGCTTTTGGGGGGAAATAAAGCTAATCAAACCTTTTGTCACGGCCAAATTCTCCCTCAGGGTCTCCCAAACATTTGTTTGAATAATTCACCTTAAGAATTGAAAATACTAATTGATTTTAAAATGCTAGCCCGGAGGGACGGGGAGGTGGGGGGTTGGGGTCGAGGGAGCCTGGAAATTAGAGGCGAAGAGCAAACGTCTACCTGCCAGCAGCGAAGCCTCCGCAGCCGCTGCCCTCGCCGGGAGCCGCGGCCAGGCTGGGCCCCCCCGCAGACCGCAGTGCCCCCGCCGCTGCCGGCCGCACGCTCCATTCCGTCCCCTCCCTCGGCCTCTTCTCCCCCTCCCCACCGCCAAACTGCGCCTGGTCACCTTGGCCTCGGGTTCTCCGCTAAAGTGCCGGCGGTGGCAGGGGTGGGCTCCACTGGGCGGGGAGGGGGATCCCGGTCCGGGCGTCTCGGCCCCATTCAGGGAAGAATTTTGATGCGATTCATTAGAAGTAACGAGTTGACATAAGGTAAATCTACATCGAGGGGGCCTTTCTTTGAGTGCATGGGGAAGCTTCATTAACCATCGCTAACAAGGCGTGCAAATGCTCTGATTGGGCAGCTTTCTTGTAACGCCAAGGCCTTAGCAGGATGCCCACCTAATGAGGGTCACTACAAGAGACTGATAAAATATTCAAATTTTCCGTCGCACCAGGAACTTTGTACTAAAGTAGAAAGTTGAAGCAACTGTGTGCTTGTTTACCTTGAGAAGGCACACTCGGGGGAGAAGGCATCTAGCTCTGACATCTCCATCTCACGGATAAGCACCGAGCTGGACGGTCACTGCTTTATGGACGTTTATTTGTTAAATTCGTCAACAGACTTCCCCCCGCCTTCCCTCGTTCTCCCCTGGTTTAATATTGTTTCTCTCCAGTTTAATGCAGTGCCTAATAAATAACTTATCTGAGAGGTTCCACGCTTTTTTTCTCCTTTTCTATCCTCTTTTTTTTCCCTTGAAGAAGAATTATTAAAATCAGCCTGATGGCTTTAATGATACATCAATCATTTCAAAGTTGCTGCTTGTTGCTAATATGTCAGACTCTGTACACATCACTGCTACTTTTCTCGCTGCCGCGTTTAAAGGCTGTACCCTCCTCCCCCCGCAAATTGTTTCTTCAAGTTTTCATTGCTAGGTTACGATTTCTAATTAGAGCTAAGTATTTCACTTAATATTTAATTTAGACGCCCAGCACATATATCATACCTAGATCAGTCAATCAAGTGTCCCTTGTTGATAATGCTACATCATTAAGAGTTGTGTTTAATTCAGGAGCAAGCGAGTGTATGGCTGCTGCTGAGGAGCAGGTAACTTTCGACTGATGGGAGCTACCGGCAACTCCAGAGGGATGGGGGGAAGCAGCCCAGCTCAGCCGGGAGGTGGCTACAGCTCCCTCACCTCCTCCGGAAAGTTCGCTGCTTCCCGAGCGGGCATCTCGCCGCAGAGGCCAGATGCATTCCTTTTCTCCCTTTTAAAAATAATAATAATTATTGTAAGAGTAATAATAAGTATCTCACGTTTTCCTCCTCCAGCCTCTGTGCTTATGCAAAATATAGCAGAGGAGGGATCCCCAAAAGTTTAACTTGGAAGCTGGAGCACTGTTTTGAACCACTAATGAAATACCCCCTCGTCTTCTTAAGCTAATCCAAACAGCTAAAAAAATATCACTTGCCCACTTGTTTCTTATTAGCACGCACGGCATCCACAGGGCTCTGTTACAGGAGCTGGATGGGCCACATCTTACACACCCATGAAATGCGCATTCATTTATCCCGGAAAATCGTGACTAAAGGGAGAGAGGAAGAAAGAAAAAGGGAAGAAAGGGAGAAGATAGATGTGTTGGTAAAGATGGCATCAGTGCAAATGTGTCAGCGCTTGCCCCTGAAGACTGACAAAATTTCAATTAAATCGTCATAATAATAATAACAACAATATCAAAAAGCCTAACAAGACCAACACGATGGGTTCTCTTTTACCTGCCCCGGGCTCTCCCTTTCTCCCCCCCTCGCCTTCCCCCTCGCCGCGGCCGCAGTGCTGCATTTTCCTCTCGCCGGTACCTCGACCGCTACACCCCAGCCCCGTCTGAACCCCTGCCTCCCCCGATAAAAAAAATAATCAGCGTTTGCAAGCGTCGATTGAATCACTCCCGAGTCAGGATTAAGGGGCACTAACTAGGCAGGAGAAAATCGCAGCCTCCTGGGAGCGACCATCAAAACAAGCAGTGAAATAAAAGAGCTTCTCTCTCTGCTTCCCTTCCTCTCCCCAGAAAGGTCCTCCAGGGTGGGTGCACACACAGACGCTCACAACTTCGTAGGGCTCCCTCCATAAGAGAGCACTGGTTTGCCCGGGTCTGTTCAGGGGGAGGTTTGGGGAATTGGGTGGGAGCTGCTCCCCTGCCCTGCAGAGCCACATGTCATTCTAGCAGCTGAAACAATGAATCATGTGGGAGCAAGTAAGATTGACTGGAAACGGACGGCAGGTTCCCCGGCCTGGCGAAGGCGGCTATCGTCAGCACAGGGAGACCCCCGGGTCCCAGCGCGGGGGTGGGGAATGGCCGGGGAAGGGGGGGGGGACCGAGGCCGCGCACCCCCTGGGCGCTCCCCCGCGGGATCTCAGCCTGCCCGTAACAAACTTACAGGATCCGGAAAGGATTTCCCCAGCCGAGAGGGCAGCCTCTGCTCTGCCCTGCCCCGTCCGCCGCCTCCGCCGCCGTTTTCCCGCGGCAGCTCCCGCTGCCGCCGCCGCCCGCTCCCGGCTCCGCTCCCGGCTCCGCTCCCGGCTCCGCGCCCGGCGGGACGCCCCGCTGCGCGCGCCGCTCCGCTCCGCTCCGCGCCCGCGGGGATCGGCGGCTGCGCCCGCCCGGCGGGTCCGGGCTCGGCATTAGCCGATTCCATTGACAATTTGCAGCCAGCAGCTGCAGTCATTAAAAGCCATTTACACCCTGGCCTCCTCACACAAAGCTGGAGCGCCAACAATTATCTGCTTGCACATTTCAGGACATGAGAGTGTGTCCCTAACAGGCTTAGGGGAGCGCTGAGTCCCTGGTCGGGCTGGGCAAGCGCAGGATCCGCTCCCCGAGGTCTGGCTGACGACCACCGTGCCTCGACGATCCCCGTCTTCGAGCCGCGGGAGCTGGTGGAAACATTTTAGGATGCTGACTCCGTCCTTGCAAGAGCCTCTGGCTAGCAGAGCTCATGCGCTGGACCTTCGCGGCTCAGAGAGGAGAGAGGGGTTCAGGAAGACCTTGATATTAGCTAATAGGCAAGGTTGTGGGTTTGTTTGGTTTTAAACGTGCCCGCACACGGAGTAGAAGCATTGAAATTCCCTACAGAAGGATATTTTGGAAGAAATATTTTCACCAGAAATGCAGTTACATGTTTCATATGTCTGAGGGAAGAAATGGGGGGGGAAAAAAAAGGGGAGGGGGGGAGAGGAAGAGAGAAATAGGGAGAGAAAGAAAGAAGGGGGGAAAAAAAGAAAGAAAGAGAAAGAAAGAAAACACATATAGAAGCTTTGAGAGATTCATTAGGAATCCTCATAGAGGGGTCACAACCTATAGGCGAATGACCAGTGTGTGATAGTCTGTAAGGTTAAAAAAAGGAAAAAAAGAGAAGCGGTTTGGATGCTTTTCTGGAAATACATTTTAAAGGAGTTTAATTTGCAGATTGAAGAAAAATAGAATCAAATATTAAGAAACTCCCGCAGGAATTCCCCCCACTCTCCCCTCTGTAATCCTTTACATAAAAGGAAAGGATTACAAAGAAAAAGATTGTGTGTGTGTGTGTGTGTGTATTAAAATCTTTGGCTAAACATATTGTTGTCCAATTAATACCTCCAAGTCGATTTGTAGAGGGGCTGAGAAGTCTCTTTCCCTTCTTAGCTGTACAACTGGAAATATGAGCCAGGGAAGGTGGGAGGGTAAAAAGAAGTTTTTCCCAAGTCTGTTAACAGAAGTGCTTAACCAGATCACTAAAAATTAAGAGGGTGAGTTATTTCCATTAGGACTATGAAGCCATGTAGCACACCGATGACAGTTTAGTGGAAATCAGACGAATGTGTAATACAGCGAGCTTCTTCCAGTCCAGCAGCTCTTCCAACTGGACCTATTCATCTGCCACTTGGAATTATTTCACGAGGAGTGCGCAGTGAAAGGATCACAACCAGTTTGGAGCGCAGCTAAAGAACTTCTACCACCCATAGCAGTATTATTATTATCCTTCGGATAGGGCAAGTCACGCTATGTTTTCACATTTTAATTGTAATATCTCACTTCCCCCCCTCCTTCCCTCCATTGATGTCTGAAAGTAGTTTGGGCTCCAAGCCTCACCCCTCGATCTCCATCGGAATGCAGAAAAGATCTTTAAAAAAGTTTTGAATTCCTCAATGATTTTTCTTCTAGAAAGGCGGCTTAGGATAATTATTTCAGCTTTATTGAGGGCAGATTAGTTGAAGTCTGGATGCTGCGTTTCAATACTCGTTGTACATGCCTTTACAATGTCGGTATTGTTTGCTACTGTGTGTGAACCTATTCAAAATATACACTTTTTAACACCAAGCAAAGTCCTGTCTAAATATACACAGTAAGTCTGGAAAGATGTCCATGACCCGTACAAATCTCTGTAAATCACACTTCCATAGCTACAGAAACCAAACAAAAGAGTTACCAGCTCAAGATGCTGATTAAATCTTCTTAAAAGCAACATACCTAATAATAAATATAGTTGCATGGTAGCAAGGTCTAGCGATCCAGCTATGTCTTACTGAGGGATGGACTCAAACCATCACCACGGAGATTTTCCTACTCTCAATTAAAAAAAAAAAAAAAAAAAAAAAAAAAAAAAAAAAAAAAAGAAAAAAATCTGGGCTCAAACCCGCTTATGCTCTCCTCCCTTTCCTCATGCCCGCACAAGAGCCCTGCAAGTTCGGGGCAGAAATTGCTGGGAAAAGGAGAGGTCCTGTGTCAAGCCCCGACGGGTTGGGGGTGAGGAGCAGCCTCGCAAGGTCGTGGGGCTCCGGAGAAAGGAAGGGGCGAGAGGAGGTGAGGTGAGTGGGAGGAGGAAAGACAGAATGGAAATAAAACAAAGTGGAGAGAGGGAAGAGAAAGGAGAACGAAAGCGAAGACGAGAAGGAGCGGGAGGGCGGGGAGGCGAGGACTGGGACAGGGAGGCAGAGAGCGGGGCGCCGCCGGGGTCGAGCGCGGAGCCGGGCGGCCGGAGCGGGCCCGGGCTGGGCGCCCTGGGCGGCTCCCGGCGGAGTGGCAGCGGAACTCCGCGAGCAGCGGATCCTTCCTGTCGCGGAGAGGGGCAGGGAGAGGGAGAGGGGAGGAGAGACTCTTCGGTGAACCAGAGCTAAACCCAGCCTGTACTGTATGTGCCTGCTTCTGGGAGGGTCACCGGCATGAGGATGGGTCTAATGATCTCATCTTTCTTTTCTTCCCCGGCACTATTAGTGCTCAGATAGGCAGAATGAAGTGAAACTACGTGCAAATCATGTGTAAATTGTCTCAGTTAGGAGCCCTTTATCCGAACGTGTATCCCAGCCTGGCCCATTTACTTTTCCCCCATATCTCCTTTAGCTTTAACGAGGCTCGTTAAGATCACAATAATATTCCACCCTCTAATTGCTCATCCCATTCAACAAATATGTGCACACTGCTTTTCGCATTATTTGATCCCTTATTTAGGAGGGGTGTGGAGAGGGAGGGGGAAGAGACAGGGAGAAGAGGAAGTGCTGAGATTAGGAGTTGCAAAGATTAAGGAGGAAAAAAAAAAATCCAAACAACAAACCAGGCTTTTCCACCAACCGCCCCGCTTCCCTCCCCCCCGTGCATTTGGGCGAAGTGGTAAAAACCTTCCTTACGTACTCCGTAATGATTGGCAGGGCTGACAGTGATTGGCAGCGGCTGCCATGGCAACGCCACAACGACACTCAGAAGACCAATAGAAAAGCGAAACAAAATGTTTCAGCGCTGCACTCACTGTGGATTTAGGGGAGATATTATGAGGCTGTTGTCATTAGGGCGATCGCTGTTGAATCACTGAATCCTGACTCGGCGGCGGCGCGGGGCCGGGTGTGTGTGAGTGCGTGTGCGTGTGGGGGGGGTGTGTGCGCGCGTGTGCGTGTGCCCGCGTGTGCGTGTGAGTGTGTGTGCCCCCGTGCCTCTATGTGGCTGTGTGTGCGTGTGCGGGTGTGGATGCGTGCGCGGTGCGTGTGCCCTTTCCTCCCTTCTTCCTCCCTTTCTTTCTTTTCTCCTTGATTTATCTCCCCCTCTCCCCGGTCATCCCATGGTGTTCAGGTCCCCGCTAGAGCTTTATCCCACCCATTTCTTCTTGCCAAACTTCGCCGCCGATCCGCACCACCGCTCCCTCCTTCTCGCCAGCGGCGGCGGCAGCGGCAGCGGCTCGGGCTGCAGCCCCGGTGCCGGCGGCGGTGGAGGCGGCAGCTCCCGGGCACCCCACGAAGAGTTGTCAATGTTTCAGCTGCCCACACTCAACTTCTCCCCGGAGCAAGTGGCCAGTGTCTGCGAGACGCTGGAGGAGACTGGAGACATAGAGAGGCTGGGGAGGTTCCTCTGGTCGCTGCCGGTGGCACCGGGGGCATGCGAGGCCATCAACAAGCACGAGTCCATCCTCCGCGCCCGGGCGGTGGTGGCCTTCCACACGGGCAACTTCCGAGACCTCTACCACATCCTGGAGAACCACAAATTCACCAAGGAGTCCCACGGCAAGTTGCAGGCCATGTGGCTCGAAGCGCACTACCAGGAGGCCGAGAAGCTAAGGGGTCGCCCGCTGGGGCCGGTTGATAAATACAGGGTGAGGAAGAAGTTTCCGCTGCCCAGGACCATTTGGGATGGTGAGCAGAAGACGCACTGCTTCAAGGAGAGGACTCGCAGCCTCCTGAGGGAGTGGTACCTGCAGGACCCTTACCCCAACCCCAGCAAGAAAAGGGAACTGGCTCAGGCCACGGGGCTCACCCCCACGCAAGTAGGCAACTGGTTCAAAAACCGAAGGCAAAGAGACAGAGCAGCAGCGGCTAAAAACAGGTCAGTGGGGCTGCGGTGCCACACTTCGGGGCGGGAGGCGAGGTGGGCGGCGGGACCCCGCGGGCGGACTCCGCGGGTCGGCAGCCGCCTGGGCGGCAGCGCGCCTCTGCCTCTCCTTTCCCTCTTCTCCTCTTTTCCATCACCGCCACCGGGAGAAACCGGTCCCCCCTCCGGGCGGGTAGGTCTCCTCTCGGCAGCTGCAGGGATGCGACGGGGACAGGCGCGGCTCAAAGTTGCCTGACGTGCCTCGAGCAGTGCCCCGGCTCCCCACAGGCTCCCGGGCTGCAGACAGGGCAGGCGTGGGTAGCTCCGTCCGCGCGTGTTTGTCTGGGTGTGCTCGGGGCGCATCGGCTGCGGCAGGGGCAGCTCCCGGCTCTCCCGGCCTCCCTCCCCACAGCGGCAGCGGGGGTCGGAAAACCCCACGGCTCCGGGTCGGTGGGCTCCGGTTTGGCTTTCGGCTTGCCGCGATCTGCGCCTGGCAGAGCTCTGGAGCGGTTTCCCCGGCGAAGGGCCGAGGCAAGCGGTGCGGTTCAAAGCGGGTTTCGGCAGAGCCAGCGGCTCCGCTCCAATTGTTCGTGCTGCTCTGCATGCGCAGCGGGACCAGCACACGAATACCCCAGAGCTCTTTGGCTCTTGGAGAAAAAGGAAAAAAAACATGTAAGAGATCGAGAATCTTTTTTTCTCCCCCATCTCCATTCCTGTGTTTACACCCCATGGCGACCCGGCCTCCTGGTCGTGTGTTTCCTGTGCATTTACGCTTGCATTTATTTGCGTGTCTCTCGGTGTCTTTTTTTTTTTCTTTGCCATGATAAAAACGAGGGATCTTTCTTTCTTTTTTTTTTTTTTTTTTTTTTATTCTTTCTTTCTCGTCACTCTCCGTAAAACTTATTTTGCAAATGAAAATGAACCCTTAATCCAGCTTGACTCATTGGTTTTATTTTAATTTAAGTTTGGCTACCACTGTAAGCGTGTAAACAAAACTTCTTGTTCTTGTAAATGCTGTCTCTTAAATTCCTCCTAATTATAGCACTGGTGCTATTGATTCACGATTCTGTAGGAAAAATGCAACCTAAAAGTGCCAAGCTATTTAATTTCCATTAAATGGAAAACAGATCAGCTTAGGACTGTAAATAAACAGAAGTTGCCTATGGATGCTTTTGTTGACTCAACGCTGTTGACAGCAGATGAATGCATCAGGAACTGTAAATGGGAGAAAAAAATCAAAGAGGTTGAAGTTAGGCGACTTAAAATAATGAAAAATGTAGAATAAACCTGCTATATTTTTTTGTGCTCTTTGCAAGCAGTTAAATAGAAAATTTCCCAGTGGGAAGCATTTGAGCAAGAAGTGTATTTTAATTCACATTGGCAATGCTAGGCGCTAGCTGTTTGAGGCTGGCTGCTCAGCCCAGGACTTTTAGCTCTTATCCCTGAATCAGGCTTTTTTCGGGTTTCGAGAGGAATAAACGGGCCCAGAGAAATATTCACAACACACTAGGGAACCTAAAAATTATGTATTGCCTCTTAAAGAAATGTTCAAAGACAGTATTTCCTTAAGCGTTGACGGTGAAAGGACCAGCACTTTAAAGGTGATTTTGGCTTTCAGAGGAATAAAGGACTAAAATTTCGAGCGGAGAGAAGCACTGTGTTCTACAATCTCCTTCTTTTATTTTATCCATAGCGCCGCGTCCCTGGGACAGGACCTCCCTCCAGCCCTATCTCAGATCCCAGAGTGTATGTGCACTGGGGAATATTTAGGCAGATATTGCCCAGAGCACAAAATGGGTACCCAGTACTATTCTTGACCGCTACGGAACCCTCCTTGCAGCTTTTCGCAGTGGCCAAGTGTTAAGGAGCTCACCCACACACGGTTTCTCCTAGGCCCGCCGTGCTGCGGGGAGGAATGATTGGCAGTCGGGGTAAAGAGAAGGCGCTGCTCGTGTTTTCCAAACCTGGGGACGGGAACCTCTTCTCCCGCCGTTCCCCATCCTCTTTCCGGCCGTGGCCCCTCTAGCTGTGCCTGCGCTGGGTGTTGTGTCCCCCGAGGCGGCCTGACCCGGCAGCGGGGGCAGCGCGGCCCGGGAGAGCGGCTTGGCCCTGCATCCCGCCGCCGCTGCGGGCTCCGCGGGGCTCTGAGGGAAAGCGGCCGGGCAGGGCCGGGGTCCGCAGCGCTGCAGCCGAGGGGTCCTCTCCGTTCCGCTTCGGGCCGGGCCCATCCCCGGGCGGGCGGGCGGGCGCTGGGTCGGGCGGGCGCCGTGCCCTTGGCGGCGGCCGGTGTCTGAGCGGGGCTGTGCTGTTGTTTTGTCTCCCGGCGCGATGCAGGCTCCAGCACCAGGCGATAGGACAGAGCGGCATGCGGTCGCTGGCAGAGCCCGGCTGCCCAACACACAGCTCGGCCGAGTCTCCGTCCACGGCGGCCAGCCCGACCACCAGCGTCTCCAGTTTGACAGAAAGAGCCGAGACGGGCACCTCCATCCTCTCGGTAACCTCCAGCGACTCGGAATGTGATGTATGATATCGGAAAACAAACAAACAAACAAAAAATCCAAATCCAAACAGCCAAGCACCCTCTCCCCGTCCCGAGCAAAACAAACCGAGGCAACCTAGAATCAGGACACACACACGCATGCACGCACACACACAGCCGGGAGGAAAGAAAAGGCCAAACCCGACCCAAACATAATAGCAAACAAACAGACAGGGATCAGAGAATCCACCACCACCGTCAGCCAACACCACCACCAAGAGATGGAGCTAAAACTTCAACAGTCACAAACGCTGGTGCTGCAGCGGGAGGGGTGGGGGGGAGGGAAATAATAATTATTATATATATAAAAAGGAAGAAAAAAAAACAAAGCAAAAGTGACAATTGTATTCTTTTTAGGACAAGCACGATTTCTCCTTTGCGCTTTTCCATGGACGCATTTCACCCACTTGCATGATGATGATGATTAAATTTGTATCTGGGAAAAAATATTCTCTATAGTAAAGGAAAACAAACAGAAACCAGACAAACAAATGCAAACTCCGATCGAATTTGTACAAAACTAAAAAATAAAAAAAAAAATTAAAAGGAACTCCTTGAAGAGGGAAATAACAAACGTTTATCGCCTTTTTGTTGGTCCTATTTCTCTCTCTTTCTCTCTTCCTCTCCCTTTCTCTCTTTTTTCTTTTTTTTTTCTTTTTTTTCCTTTTTTTTTTTTTTTAGTCCAAGTGATGGTCCAGCCAAGATGCAATTTTCTGTTTTTTTGTTCAGCAGACAATCATTTTATTCGTAAGCACCTTTTTTTCTACACTTCTGTCACTGCCTGTGTGGGTACTGGTTATAAATGTGGAAAAAGAATAGTTATGACTGTAACAGATTTTTATTTTTATTTCAAAATTTTATATGAATTATGTATATCTTAATGATGCGGTCATTTTCCCAGTTTGTAATATATGTGTAGAAATGCTTGTATATGATATTTGCTCTCTTCTTTCTTCCTCCCTTCTCTCTGTCTATCTCCCTCCCACTCTTTCTCTCTCTCTCCTTTTTATTTTCCTTGACTCGGTGTTCCTTGCACAAACTTAGCTGTCAAAATCTGACGTGCTAGGTTTTCAAAAGGGACCTCAGCGATAGAAAAAAAAATAAGAAAAAGAAAAAAAAAAAGCTTAGGGTGCAACTGTAGTTATCTTATGCAAAAGCTATTTTGAGTATTTCATAGCAGCTTTGGGGGGTCTCTTCTTAAACTCCACGTAGGACGCTTAAACTATTGTTTCCTTAACTGCGTGTTTATCTATATGTACAAACTTTCTAAATCAAATACAGTATTCCATTTTCTTATCTATCCAGCGATGTTGGTGTTTCTGTCCGCCACGGGAAATCACGACTTCCCCGTGGGCTCCTCGCTCCGCGCTCTGCCCCGCCGCGGTCCCACGGGGCACGCAGCGCTGCGCGACCCCTGCGCCCCGCCGGTCCCCGCCTTTCCCGGCTCGGCGGGACACCCTGAAGGGATTTTGCAGGGACGAAGCAACCCTGCGAGGAGGCTGCGGGCGGCAACGGGGACACAGTGCTGCAATAGCGACGGCTGCACGGGGCACGGCTGTGTCCCTCCGTGTCCCCTCCGCCGCGGACTCCATCGTTTCCCCCCACCTCGGTCATTTTTTTGTGCACTGCGAACTAAAAGGCTTCCCCCGACCGCCTGTCTGCAGGGCCGGGTGTCTCCAGAGAGCGGTTAAGACATTTCGGGATTTGTTTTGTAGCTTTAAATGAAAACAAAAACAAAAACTCCTCGCCCCAAGCGGGCTACGGCTCCTCCCCTCGAATCCGGAGTATATTGTAAGGTGCTGAAAGAAGCCTTTATTTGCATGACTAACAGTATTTCAGCATCTTTCTTTCTTTTGTTCTTTTTTTTTTTTCCCCTTTGCCCTTGGCAGATTATTCATCTGTGTATTAACAAGAAGTAAATTCTAAACTTGTTTTTACTTGAAAATACAATTTTGAATATTACCAGGGATTTAGAGAGAAACGTGCCTGGAATTTCTTGACCATTTCCAAACTGTTATGGACTTCCGATCTACCTTTGTGTTGCTCAAGTCCTCTCTCCCTCTTCCTTCCTCCCCCTTTTTTAGTGAAGTCCGAGCTAGGTCTACGGAAAGCCAAAGGAACTCTCTGGGTTCTCACCCACTACCCTTCCGCCGCGAGAGGCTACCTGTGGATTTGGGAGAACCCCCATGGGGTGTGAGATCTTAGACCAGGCCACTAATGGGTAGTTTTAAGAAATAAGCTGACGTGCGAATACGTTAATACACCTTTGGTTCCCCTGAGGACACGCCGCGCGTGTGCGTGCAGCCAGCACGTACGGAACATGTCCCCGCGTGTGGCGGGAGTCACCACGGGGAAGGACACATATGGCCCGAGGCAGCCCCCGCTCCGTCGGGGGTCGCCTGCCCTGCCCCGCGGGCTTCGCTCAACGCGCGACTCCAAGGCGGGGTCTTCCCCACGGGCACCTCCTGCGGTGTCACTGCCCCGCTGCCAACACGAGTGGGGAGTTAAAAGGAAATAACGTCCAGTTGTACGAAACTGGAATGGACGGGAATTGCTTGTGGGTAGACACACAATAGGGCTCCGGTGTTCCGCGTGGGTGGTGTGATGGACCTAGTTCGCCCCCTCCCCCATGCGGTTTTTAGAGGGGAGAAATCTCACCCAGGAGGGGATAAAAGATTCCCCAGTAGCCGGCACCCTTGCCGGGTCTAACGCTAGAGATCAGGTTGCTTTTTCTGTCCCCCGCCTTCCCCGGCATCGAGAAAGCGGAAAGGCCTTTAGAACAACAAATTCCAGCCTTCCAGTCACCCCCAGATTTGGGTAGGAAGATCTTCTATGTCGGTACACTGTTTTGAAGCACAGTATTTCTGTTCCTCTTGATAGCAGTGTCACTCTTATCCAGCAGTATTTTTAAGGGAATTTAATACCTGCAAAGATTCAGAGGCGTGAAAGTTTGGGATATATTTTTTTCCTTTCTCTTCATTTTCCCGTCTCGAAGCTGCAGCTAGAAGGCGTCAAGCCGGCAGCAGTAATCTACCTCAGCTCAACCTCACACTGATAGGTTTGGATTTTTCTTCCCTCTGATTAATCCTCCAGAAGATCGCCCCGTCATGCCGTGCCAGTTAGGGTATGCCAGAGATCGCCCTTAGCGTCGCCCTACGGGTACCTGGACTTAAGCTTTAGGACAGTTTAAGCTTAAGGGCAGGGCCTTTCCTCCCAAGCCATTTGTCACCCCCATTCCCCAAAGTTGCTCCTCGGATCTTCAGCCCAATCCCGAAGGAGGGAGCTGCCCCAGCCGTTCTGAAGGTGTCTCCCTCTCCTGGAGCCCGTGGATCTTTGTGCGGGGCGGCCGCGGGGGGAAGACATACACTTATCCGGGGAGTGCCGGTGCCTGCACGGTTTCGGGGTTCCAAGGGTGCAGCTAATGAATGCCGTTTCAAAGCCGGGCTTCGTAATGGATAAATGATGTTTTTTTAGGATTTGCATTAGAAACCTGAATGGCTGATTGAGGTGTAAATCTATGAAAAGCTGCATTTAAGCCTTCTCACCCACTAAGTCCATCTGCCCCGGGAAGATAGGGCCTATCGAGCCCCACCAAACTGGAGGGTTGCCTCCTCCTTGCCTTTGGCCCGGCATTATCCACAGCCCTTCTCCAGCATTAATTTATTATCCTCTCCGAGCCCGGCCGTTGATTAAGATGAAATTACTCGGAAGCTGAAATGCGTTTGATCAATATTTACGAGAAAACCGAAGGACGGGAGGCAGATGGCCGAAGCCCGGACGCCCACCGCGCTGGCTCCGCGGCAGCCGGTCCGGTCGGCCCCGCTCCCCCCAGTCCCGCACCACCGCCTCTCGCCCGCCGCCGCGGGGGCACAGCCCCGCCCCGCCCGTCGGAAGTCGGGCCGAGACCAGCTGGTTCCGGAGCAGTTTGGAGACGGTAGTTACCCCCCTCACCGCCCATTCCCTCGCCGTGGGGCTATAACACTGCCTTCATCCCCAACGAACTCCGCTTTGCGGTTCCACCGGCGAAGAGGACTGGGGACCACCGAAGCCACCTGCCCTCCTCCCTCCCTTCCTCCCCGTGGTCGCTGCCCGAGGGCCAGCCCTAGCCCTTTAGCTAGGCTGGGTGTCCTTTGTGTGCCTGCTGGGCCGCGGCCTCTGACGAGCCTCCACGGTCAGGCGTGGGCTTCGGTCACCCCCAGCTCTCTCTGTCCGATCAATTACAGCAGCCTTTTCGAGAGACTTGAATCTGCTTGCCCGTTGCCCTTAATTTTTAGCATACCCAGATGAGGTTACTGCCCCGGCCCGAAGTGAAAAGAAATGTGGACGTTGGTGCCCTGGTATTGCTCTGATTTCCTCGGTTAGCTGAGCACAACTTTCTATTCGTGTTTATTCATGCAGTTTCTTATTGAGCTCCACATCGCACTGGCCTGGATTCCGCGTGTAGGGAGAGGATAGACAAACATTGCCTTTTTCTAGAGCACACACACGCACACGGGTGTGCAGACTCACACACACACCCACGAGTCCAAAATGCAGAGGGCACCCGTGGCCTGTAGCCACATCACCACCCTGCAGAGAGCCCAGATACACAGAACTTTGTAAATGGTGTATATAAAAAAGGGAGAAAGGAACCAAATCATCCAACTGTAAACTGACTAAGGGATGGAGAAGTCAGGGACGTGGGAGTCTCTGTGTCTCTCTGTGTGCAAGAAAGTGTTGGGAAGAGAAAGCACTAAGGGTATTACCGACAATCATACTAAATATTCTCTTCTAGCACGGTAATGACAAAAGGCAAGGGCTGTCGGGCTATAGCTGTGATTAAATGATACAAAAGGGATTTGTGTTCCTGTATCTGGGGGAAGGATGGCTGCGAGGTTTTGTTTTCAACGCTGTTCTTTTTTATTTTGAAAGCAAGGTGTTTTCAGACCAGGAGGCTTCAAAGTGGCTTGGCACCTCATGATCTGCAAGAGAAGAAAGATGTTGAAGAGTACTGAATAAAGAAACACATATGTAAATACCTGGAAGTGTGTGGTTAGAATCACCTCGCTGTAAATGAGTTGAAGTGGCAGAATCGTCTCTTTGTGCAGCAGACAGATCCTTTGCCGAGCAGGTAGAAAGAGAAAGACCAGAATTACACTAGAAGTCAAGATTTACAGCATCCAAATCCAGACCGTGACTGACCTTAATTCCAGTATTCCAGTCCTAATTATTAGCAGGAAGTTTAGCTATACTGCAAATATTTGTGGTTTTGTTTTTTGTTGTTGTT